TGGGGAAGAGAGTGCTCAAATGATACAGGAACACTTTAATAAAAAGGTTCCATTTAATACTGCAGGAATTCTGAGAGCAGATTGAAAATTCAGAAGAGCTCTCTGAGTATTCTGCAAAGAGGGAGAAATGAAGTGAGATGTGACTTTTAGGATGTCCTTTGTCCTTATAGCTTCTCGAAGCTCTTTTCAAATGGAAGGGAGTGGATGAGACAGAGATGCTGCTAATTACATCTGGGAAGGAAGTGAAACAGGGTATTATTAGTGTAGCCAGCTCAGAGCAAAGACTAAAGCAACTTTAGAGAGGAAATCAGTCTGTCATATCTGTGCAAATATGTGTACTTGAATGATAATTACTGTAGTCATTGTTTACTATTGCTACAAAATTTTAATTGTCTGTTCAATGATAATTCAACACATAGCTCTAAACATCACCCCCAAAACAAATTACCTTTTATCAATTGAAACAAACCAATTAAAATTTCAAAATACAACTGTGTAATCAACAGCTTAATACATGTTAATTATGACCAAAATTTCAATTAATGTGTTAATATATGACCTCAAATCTCTAGGAAAAAAAACAGTAAATAAAACAGCCTCACATAGCAATTATGGCCTAGTTTGATTGATGGGTATCTGTGAGTTTGTTTTTTAAGTCTGACTTGGTAATGATATTAAAAAAGCCAGCCTATTCTCTCCTCTATTCTGAAGCCACTGCAAAAAGTGCATAGGGTTTTTAAACCACCACCCTCTTCTCTTCAGCTCCTACATGCCTCACTCCTGCATTGCATTATCAGTTATATTCCTTTATAGTATCTTTTCAGTTGTCCCATGAACCTGTGAGTGTGTGTGGGGTGGGTGGTGGGTGGTAACAGGGAATCTCTTCATTTTGTAGGTAGGTAAGGTATAGCTGGACACATTTCATATAGCTGGCTGAACACAACTTGTGTAGATGATTTAAAGGAACCCAAGCTAGTATGTGAGTGTGCATGCATGCATGTGTGTATGTGTGTGTATATGTGTTTGGGGTGGGGAAGCAAGACATGGTACTAGTTTATAATACACCCTTTGTTTCAGTTGGGAGCCATAAATGAGGAGGATTAGAGAGGGAGGAATCATGCTTATGTGTGAGGGTGTCAGGAAGGGTTACATGGAAGAGACTTAGTAGATAAAGAGGATTTAGACAGGAAGAGATTGGAGCTGGAGAACATTCTAGCAGAAAGAAGGTATTAGAGTGCTTGGATTGGATTGGCACAAGTATGACTAGAAGTTAAACCAAGGAAAAAAGCAATGGTGGGATTAGACTGGGAAGAATAGTCTATCAATCTTATTTCTTATTCTGCGTGTGCCGCTGGATGAGGAGACCATGTTTCAACCCTTACATAAAGAATGAGATCATTTATGGAGCAAAAGAGAATGAAGAAAACCAAAGACACAAGGAAAATATTAGTCCAAAAGACTAATGGACCACATGAACTACACCTTCTACCAGCCTGAGCCCAGAAGAGCTAGATGGTGCCTGGGTACAACCACCAACTGCTCTGACTGGGATCACAACAGAGGGCCCTGGACAGAGGGGGAGAAAAATGTAGAACAAAATTCAGATTCACAAAAAAAAGACCAGACTTACTGGTCTGACAGAGATGGGAGGAATCTCAGAGACTATGCTATGGCCCCCAGACACTCTTCTAACTCAAAACTGCAGCCACTCCTGAAATTCACTATTCAGCCAAAGATTAGAAGCCCTATAAAATAAACAGTAACACACGTGAGGAACGTGTTCCTTAGATCAATCAAGTATACAAGACCAAATGGACAACAGTTGCCCAAAAGCAAAGATGAGAAGGCAGGAAGGAACAGGAAAACTGGACAAATGGAAACAGGAAACCCAGGGTGGAGAGGGGGAGAGTGCTGACACATTGCGGGGATTGCAACCAGTGTCACAAAACAATTGGTGCATAAATTTTTGAATGAGAAGCTGATTTGCTCTGTAAACTTACCTGAAGTACAAAAAAAAAAAAAAAAAAAAAAAAGAATGAGGTCATTTAAAAGGTTACATGGTCTTTTTATCTGACTTAAAATCTTTATCTCAGCTTCACAACATCAATGCCCCGTCACTTGACCCTATTTCCTTGGCTTATTATGGCCAATTTATCTGGGGCTGAGTTGTATTCAAAAGAAAATTGGGCGTGCTTCTAAAATATTTATTTTAATTTGTATAAACCTCCATTCTGAAACATGGCTCACTTAACTGTGCTGGAAATTTTATTATGTGTAGTTATGATCTTATTTTTTTGTATATATTAATTAAAGTGGAAAATCCTCTTGCAAATTTAGCTTGAAAAGGATAGATTGGAATAGAACTCTGTGTGTAAATATATATGTGTGTACGTGTGTGTGTTATTAATGTGTAGGTGCCTTTGAGTCGATTTTGACTCATAGCGACCCTATGTGACACAGTAGAACTGTCCCATAGGGTTTTCTAGGCTTCTATCTGTAAGGGAGCAGATCACCAGGTCTTTCTCCTGAGGAGTGGCTTGGTGGGTTCAAACTGCCAATGTTTTGGTTAGCAGCTGAGTGCTTTAACTGTGCACCACCAGGTTCCTTGTATGTATATACATGTATACATGTACACAGATACATATATGCATGTGTATGTAAATAAATAGAATAAAACAAAATTGGATTGGGTTGTAAAAGTATAAATATGTTAACTGTAAAATCTATTAGAGAAGGAGATTGTTTTTATGACTCAGAAGGGAGGTGTAATAAAGAGGTGTTTGTAAGAACAAGAAATACATGTGTCAACTTCTTTTTGCCTAATTCCTCATAGTCTTGACGGAAAGATGAGTCACTGAATCTGAGTCATAGGCTATAAAGAATCCTGGCACAAACTTATTTCAAGATGGATATTTAGGAACATTAGATAAATCAGTGATTGGGTATCAAGATGGATTGGGGAGTTATCAAAACAAATATTTCCCTTAAATTCTTTAGATTCTATGGGTCTCTTGCCCAGTACTTTAAAAAAAAAATTTATTAAGAAAGAGGAAATGCTGTACATTCTGAACCTGTAACCAAACTCATTGCCATCAAGTCGATTCCGACTCATAGTGACCCTATAGGACAGAGTAAAACTGCCCCATAGGGTTTCCAAGGCTGTAATCCTCACGGAAGCAGACTGCCACATCTTTTTCCTGTGGAGTATCTTGTGGGTTTGAACTGCTTACTTTTCAGTTAGCAGCCAAGCACTTTAACCACTGCATCAGCAGTGCTCCTATACATTCTGAAGAGGTTGTTAAAATGAGTAAAGCATTTTATTCAGAACATCAGACAAGAAGGCTGAGAAGTTTGGATGGTCAAATTGTTTTCGTATCTGGAAATTCTGATGAGGGATGAGGTGAGGGAAGAAGTCTTCCACCTTCGTTTCCCTCCTTAATTACTTTATCCTGTCTCTCACTTACCCACTACATACTTTTTACCCCTTTCGCCCAATCTGTTTTTCATCCAACCTATTTTTACCCCCTCATATTTAGTTGTTTTTTACCTTTGGAGAATAATTGCATGAGCATCTTCTGCTTCCGCCTTCAAGTCTCTTTTTCTCTTTATAAGCCTGAATGTGGCATAAGTTGGGATGGAGATTTAGTGATTTTTTTTTTTTGCTGAAAGTTCGAGTTATTGATGTTGGTAATTTCCTAAAGCAACAGCAGCCAATAGCACAGGTGAGGATACTGACCACCATCAGAGAAGAACATTAAATGCACTGGCTGCTCTTCCATGTTGCTTTTTCATAAAGAAGCATGTGCTATTGTGTCACTAAATATGCTCTGGAAGAAGCAAGTGAACCAGATTCAGAAAAAAATTCTGGAAAGAAAATGAAATTGGTTTTAGAATCTTGTATTCTAAATTTCAATCTAAGATTTATTTTTAGGATCAAGTTTTTAGGATGCTTCTTGCTGATATCAGTAATTAAAAATTATCTAGATGTTTAACATACAGGATAACAAAAAACAGAACAATGGTATATCTGGTGAGATTTAATAATTTACATGTAGATATTCAATGCCTGTAGTCAAAGTTCTAGTGGAAACCACTATGATCTTAGACTAAAAAATATGTACTATTATAGTTAGTAATGGCGGAGAGGAAATAATAATCTAGAATCCTCAACACATAATGTATGTTTTATTTGTTAAAATTAGAATGCAAGGAGGCATAAGGACTGACCTTCTTGAGGAATGAGAAATGGTCAAACCATCCTCATTAATTAAATCTGTACGTGTGGGGACTCTTGTATGAGAACATTCCAGATGAGTAGCCATCAAAAATACTTATAATTTTTACCAAGGTTATGGTAGATGTGACTACCTAATTAAAAACACTAGCTAAAAATATACTACCAAAATCTGCTTCAATAAGATGAAAGCCTCAAGGCCATGTTTGTGTTTTGTAGGAATAATAAATTTACATTTTAAATGGAACAATTTCACTTATTTCTTTGGAAATAATGTGAAAACATGGGTCAAACATATTGTTTGAAGACCATTTTAAGAAAATTCTTTATATATTTAAAAAGATTTTAATTTTTATTCTTGGAAATATTAATCTACTGTTTCTATGGAAATTGAGACCATGATCTTTAAATGCTGTCTCACGTTGATTCACAAAAGCTTAACATTACCCATTTAAATATCATGTATTGGAAAATTTAATGTGAAGGCTAATTTTAATAGCCAGAGTTTGATTCTTATATGCATATATGTATTGACATTGCATTGCATTTGCAATTTGAGAGAACAAGCTAATTTTAAGATTAACAGATCCCTTTTATTCTAAGCTTAACAAAGAGACCTATATTAAAAAAAAAAAAATGATACCCACACTGGATATAGTCTTATGACAAAGAAAACTATAAAGAAACATTGAATTTTTTGTTTAGTAAGCTTGTGTTGGTTGGAATATTGGTGATGAAATTCTGAAACTATTTTGTGTTTATTTAGGAGACAGCAAATGAGTAAATATACTGAAGTGTTGGAAACCAGAATTTTCACTGTGGAAGAAGGAGGGACTCAAATATGGAAAACGGGGAATATGAGGAAGGATCTCATGGTATTGGATTTAAGTTGAAACTATCAGTATGAATTCATATTAAAAATACACACACACATTTCCTGCCTGTGTCCACTGAAAGAACCTAGTAGGAATGAGCATCTTTAATGACCAGATCTTTGTTTCTAAGTTTCATTTTCCCCTAACACAAACCATTGAAGAAATGGTCAACCTGAGATATTTGCTATACGAAAACAATAAAGAGGTCATGTCAAGGAACCGGCTTGAAGTTAACTCTCACTAGTCAAACTTAGGACAATTTGAGCATCAAAAAGAATGTTGATGATCATGGATTATAACACATTAAATTAAAAAAAATCATGGGTACACAGTGATGAGAGGGGCAGGAGGGAGGGTGGGGGAAGCTCTACTTTACAGAAGAATGCTAGATAACAAAAGTGGAAAGAATTACAGAATTTTAAAAATCATCATTTTGTAATCCTAGTGTAATGACTGATTCATGGTGGATGCTAAAACTATTGGGGGAAAAGTTTTTCTGTTAGGGAACAGAATATCCTCATTTCTCAACATAGCTCCCCACAGATTTACTTAAGGGCAAAATGGAGAGATTGATGGTCACTGTCTGAACCAAATGGTCAACCTTGGCATGATTAGTAGTGGGGAGTCTGATGTGATACAGTGAGAGATACACAACTTCTGCAGAATAACTGGCCTGGATTCTTCAAGTGATTTAATGTCACAAAGAAAGAGGGAAGTGCAGCACAGTTTCAGATTGGGGAGACTAAGAAGAAAGAACAGCTATTTGCAGTAAGTGAAACTTGATTGGATTCTGGATCAAAACAAACAAAGCAGCTGTAAAGTACATTTTTGAGACAATTGGGTAAATTTGAATATGAACTGTATGTTGGATGATGGCATTAAATTAATGTTCGCTTTTTAAAGGCTGAGTTGCATGCTGAAGGCTCTTCTTGAGAGATACATTTGCAGTATTTAGGGTAAAATTTCATGATGTCTTAAGCCCATGTTTGGATAGTTTGGCCAAAGGAAAGCATGTGTACATATACGTGTGTGTGTGTGTGTGAGAGAAAGAGAGATAGGAAGTGGGTTTGGCAAGATAGCTGGTGAATCTCGGTGAGGAGTGTATGGGTGTTCATTGAACTGTTGCTTCAATATTTCTGTAGATTTGAAATTTTTCAAAATAAACAATAAATTTAAAAATAAGTAAAAAATGTTACCCATTAATCTCTGCTTTTCGTGTAGAACCAGAAAGATATGGTACTAGGGAATCCCTGGGAAATAGTTTCCATACCCACTGAAACACCCATTGTCATGGAGTCTATTCTGACTCAGTGACCCTATAGGACAGAGTAGAACTGCCCTATAGGGTTTTCAAGGAGTGGCTGGTGGATTCGAACTGCCTACCTTTTGGTTAGCAGCTGAGCTTTAACCACTGTGCCACCAGGGCTCCATAGGACAAGTGTATTATTTCCGTACTACTCACTGTGGAAAATATGAATGTTAATACGTTACTATTGAACAGTTGTGGTAGAGTAGAATTTTCCAATAATTCAGCTGTACTCATTTTTCTCTGGTTCTGTATCAGTAAGCTTAGTTTCTTACAAATTAGAAGATTCTTTACATACGAGATGAAAATGGATTTTACATTTTCCCCAATAAGCTGTGGAAAATAAAGTAACAGAGGAATTAATAATGATATCTATCATTTGCTGAATGGCTGCTATGTGCTTCTCACTTCGCTGCTTTTTATGTAAATTATCTTTAGTCTTCATTATCTCCATATTACCACAAGGAAACAGGCTTAGGATGTTGAGTTGCTTTCACAAGGTCATACAATGAGCAAATTGTAGAGCTGAGACTTAAACCCACTTCTGTCTGACTCTAGTTTCTTTTTACATGTCTATCCTACAACACTATGCTGTTCATACTAAGATAAACTATTTTAAATAGTTTCTTAAATGATTGCATTTTTTGAGGAAATTCATGGGGTTGCCATGAGTTGGAATCAACTTGACAGCAACTAACAACAACAACAACAGAGATCAAGTTATTACGTCTCTCAGTATATAATATTCGAGTGTGAAGAGAAAATGATGGGAATAGGAGTGTACTGGGAGTAAGAAGTCCAGGGCTCTATTTCCAGTTCTGTCACTGTCTGACTGTGTGACTGGGGGACCTTAGTCTCTTAAAATATAATCATTGGTTGATCTAGTTGATATCTCAGTTAATTAAAGGAATTACAATAGCATGACACTTTCAAAAATTAAAAAAAAATCACTGTTGCATAAGCAAAGTCTAGGGGATATAAGTGAGCGGGCTTGGAAGTATAGTGATGAGACGTGGTAAGGCTGGAGAGGGAGACAGGCTGGGTTATTAAGGAGTTGCAGTTTAATCATAAGGACACTGAAAGACCCTGCTGGTCTTTAATTTTTTTCACTCCCAAAAATTTAATGGTAATTTTAATATCATTAAATATTTAAGACAGAGTCAAATTTCTTTTACTTACACTTCGTTCAAATCAGGTTCTAAACAAGGTCCTTATATTGCAGTTGGTTGATAGGTCTCTCAAGTCTCTCTGTCACTCTATTAACTGCTTTCTTGAAATATAATTCACATACCATACAGTTCATGTATTTAAAGTTTATAGTTCAATGGTGTTTAGCACAGTTGTGCAGCCATCACTACAATTAATTTTAGAACTTTTTTTTCACCCCAAAAAGAAACTCTGTTGGCAGTTACTCCTCATTTCCCCCTAAACCTCTCACAGACTTAGGAGAACACAAATCTACTTTCTATTTCTATAGCTTTGTTCTGGACTTTTCATATAAATGAAAACATATAACATGTTTTCAAGGTTCATCTATGTTGTAACATGTATCAGTACTAAACTCTTTTTTATTGCTGAGTGATATCCCATTTGTGGCTGTCTTAGGCTGGGTTCTCTAGAGAAGCAGAACCAATAAGGTGTATAAATATATATATATATATATATAGAGAGAGAGAGAGAGAGATTATATCAAGGAAACAGCTCACGTGATTGTAGAGGC